CCACCCCCCGGCCTTCCTCTGTCTGCCCCGTGCCCCTGTTTGTGACGCCTCCCTGGCCGCTGACACTTGATTTTGCCCCCAGAGGACGTGTTCATCCAGCAGACACAGGACGTGAAGAACCCCATCATCTACGCCGTGTTCGCTGCCTCGGGGTGAGCCCGGAGGGCTCTGTGGGGCCCAGCTGTGCTGGGCCGTGGGGGATCTGTCGCAGCTGGGGGCTAGAATGGGGGGCATCAAACTTGGGGTGCACAAGGCACTCTTGACACTTGATTTTGCCCCCAGAGGACGTGTTCATCCAGCAGACACAGGACGTGAAGAACCCCATCATCTACGCCGTGTTCGCTGCCTCGGGGTGAGCCCGGAGGGCTCTGTGGGGCCCAGCTGTGCTGGGCCGTGGGGGATCTGTCGCAGCTGGGGGCTAGAATGGGGGGCATCAAACTTGGGGTGCACAAGGCACTCTGGTCAGGCCCAGCCCAGTGCGAGCAGAGGGATGTGGGGCAGAGGGATCTGGTGCAGGCAGAGGGATGTGGGGCAGGCCCGGTGCAGGCAGAGAGATGTGGGGCAGAGGGATCTGGTGCAGGCAGAGGGATGTGGGGCAGAGGGATCTGGTGCAGGCAGAGGGATGTGGGGCAGAGGGATCTGGTGCAGGCAGAGGGATGTGGGGCAGAGGGATCTGGTGCAGGCAGAGGGATGTGGGGCAGAGGGATCTGGTGCAGGCAGAGGGATGTGGGGCAGAGGGATCTGGTGCAGGCAGAGGGATGTGGGGCAGAGGGATCTGGTGCAGGCAGAGGGATGTGGGGCAGAGGGATCTGGTGCAGGCAGAGGGATGTGGGGCAGAGGGATCTGGTGCAGGCAGAGGGATGTGGGGCAGAGGGATCTGGTGCAGGCAGAGGGATGTGGGGCAGAGGGATCTGGTGCAGGCAGAGGGATGTGGGGCAGAGGGATCTGGTGCAGGCAGAGGGATGTGGGGCAGAGGGATCTGGTGCAGGCAGAGGGATGTGGGGCAGAGGGATCTGGTGCAGGCAGAGGGATGTGGGGCAGAGGGATCTGGTGCAGGCAGAGGGATGTGGGGCACGGTGCCCTCCGGATAACGGGATTCCCTCCCCAGGTCGGTGTTCAGGGGCTCTGCCGTGTGCGTGTACTCCATGGCCGACATCCGCATGGTCTTCAACGGGCCCTTCGCCCACAAGGAGGGGCCCAACTACCAGTGGGTGTCGTACCAGGGCCGTGTGCCCTACCCCCGCCCGGGCATGGTACGTGCTCTGGGCCCAGGGACCGGGGGGTGGGGGCCTCACCCTGCAGCCAGCGGGGATCCAGCCCCCAACCTGCCCTCCACCTGGGGTGGCTGCAGGTCGGGAGTGAGGGGCACC